CCAAATGCCCTGGAAGCCCAGAGCCCCCCTGCCACCCCACCTTGGTGCCCGAGGCCCCCTGGCAGTGCCCCAGGACCCCTCTGGCCGCCATCTCCACCAGCTGCTGGAAGTCGGGGGTCCGCGCCACGAAATCCGTCTCGCAGTTCACCTGGGGGGACATGGTGACCCTGGGGACACAGAGACCCCCTGGGGGGGACAGCAGGGACCCCCAAACCCCCCCTCACTCACCTCCACCATGACGGCGGCCGAGCCCTCGCTCAGGACCCCCACGAGCCCCTCCCGGGCCCGGGCAGCCCCGGGGGCCGCGGCTCGGGCCCAGCCCCGGCGGCGAGACTCGGCCTCGAGCCAGGCCTCGGCCTGGGGACACACGGGGGGACAGGGTCACCACTGGGTCACCCCGGCACTGACAGGCTCACCCCAGTGTCCCCAGTACTGACAGGGTCACCCCAGTGTCCCCATGACTGCTCCTTGGCTTGGGGAGACACAGGGGAGGAGACAGGGTCACCCCAGCACTGACAGGGTCACCTTAGTGTCCCTAGCACTGCCAGGGACATCCCAGCACTGCCAGGGTCACCCCAGTGCTGCCAGGGTCACCCCAGTGTCCCCAGCACTGACAGGGTCACCCCAGCCCTGCCAGTGTCACCCCAGTGTCCCCATGACTGCTCCTTGGCCTGGGGGGACACAAGGGAGGAGACAGGGTCACCCCAGCACTGCCAGGATCACCCCAGTGCTGAGAGGGTCACCCCAGTGTCCCTAACACTGACAGGGTCACCCCAGCACTGACAGGGCCAACCCAATGTCCCTGTCACTGCCAGGGTCACCCCAGTGTCCCCCAGTACTGACAGGGCCATCCCGGTCCTTACAGGGTCACCCCAGTGTCCCTAACACTGACAGGGTCACCCCAGTGTCCCCTGTCATTGATGGGGTCACCCCAGAATCCCCAGGCCAGGGGGGACACAGGGGGGCACAGACCAGATCCGACCCTGCAGCCCACCCACCCCCCAAGGGCTGAGCCCGCTCTGGTCCCGGTGTCCCAAAGCCCCCTGCCCCAGGGACCCCTTGTGACCCCCACAGGGCCTGGGGGGACAAAGGGGACACTGGGGGGTGGGGGCCCCCAGTTCATGGATCCCCTCCCCGCCGCGGGGCACCCCCCAAGCTCAGGGGGCCCCCCCCCTTCTTCTTGTGCCCCCAGGGTCCCCCCCGGTCCTCCCATGGCCACCGCGGTGTCCCCCGGAGCAGCCACCCTACCCAGGACACCTCACCCCCCGGTAGCCCCTCAGATTGTCCATGCCCGGTGCCCCCTCCGGTGTTCCCCGTTCTCTCGAGGTTTCCCCCCCCGCCAATCACGCATCGCTCCCGGTGCCCACCGCGATGTCACCCCCGGGTACCCCTGTTCTGTCGGGGTCCCCCATTGCCCATCCCTCCTGCCACCCCCCCGGGATGTCGCGTGTGTCCCCCGGGATCCCCCCGCGCCATCACTCCCGGTCCGCCCGGGATGTCACCTCCCCCTTCCCGGTGTCCCCGACAGCCGCGTACCCTCGGGATCAGCCGGCTGTCCCCATCACCCGGTGTCCCCCGGGATGTCACCTACAGCCCCGGCGGCGAGCCCGGGGTTTCCCCCGCGCGCCCCCGGTGCCGCTCACCGCCTCCCAGACGGCCCCGGCGGGCCCGAGCCGCGGCCCGTGGTGCTCCGCGATGTGCAGGACGCGCCCGCACAGCCGGAACCGGCGCCGCTCCGGGAACAGCTCTGCGAAGAGCTCGGGGTCGCGGGGGAACACGGCCCGCAGCGCCTCTTCCTCTTCCTCTTCCTCTTCCTCGTTCTCTTCCCCGTTCTCTTCCTCCTCCTCCCGCTCCCCCCCGGTTCCCACGTGGCACCCGGGCGCCGCCATCGTGGAAGGGGCGGGGCCGGGTCGAGCCCCCCGAACCTGATTGGCTGATCCTGGTTAAGCCACGCCCCCTCCGCGGGTGATGTGGCTCCGCCCAGGGAGCGCGCTCGGTCCGGGCCCGCGGTCCCGGGGGGGGGGTCCGGTGTCCCCGAGTGTCCCCTTCCCCATCCCGGTGTCCGCCGGTGTCCCCCGATGTCCCCCGGTGTCCCTCAAAGTCCCCCCGTGTCCCCTTCCCCATCCCGGTGTCCCCCGCTGTTCCCGGGTGTCCCTCAATGTCCCCCGGTGTCCCCTGCCCACCCCTATGTCCCGTCCTCTATCCCGTGTCCCCTGCTGGGTCCCTGCTGTCCCTTAACCTGTCCCTTCCCCATCCCGGTGTCCCCTCCCATCCCTATGTGTCCCCTGCCGTGTAACCCTGTCCCCTCCTCCATCCCGCGGTGTCCCCAGTGTCGCCTGCCCCATGCTGGTGCCAGGGGTGGGTCCTAATGTCCCCTGCTCCATCCCTGGTGTCCCCAAGCCAGTCCCCGCCGTTCCTTTCCCATTCCCGTGTCCCCTTTCTGCTCGCAGGCACAGCAGAGTCCGGTCCTGGTGTCCCCTGTTCCATCCCGGTGTCCCCTGCCTGATCTCACTGTCCCCTGCCCCATGCCACTGTCACCTCCTCCCATGTCAGCTGCTCTGTCCCCAATGTCCCCAGGCCATCCCTGGTCAGCCCTGGTCCCAGCCCCTGTCCTGCCCCACTCCTGGTGTCCCCCGTGTCCCCATCCCTGTCCCCAGTGTCACCCCAGCAGTCCCTCCAGGGGTTCTTCCCAATGCCACCAGCTGTCCCTGTCCCAGTGCCACCAGTGCCACCAGTGCCACCGGTATCACCACAGCCCTGGGGCCCTGATGTCCCTGATGCCAGTGTCCTCTGTTCTTGCTGTCCCTGTCCCACCTGTGTCCCTGCTGTCTGTGTCCCTGTCCCACCCGTGTCCCCAGCCCCGTGTCCCTGTTCCCCTGGTGTCGCTGTCCCCTGCCATTCCCTCGTCCCGGTGTCCCCAGCCCTGGTGGCCTTGCCCATGGTGTACCTGTCCCCATGTCCTTCATCCTGATGTCTCTGGTGCCACCTCCCTGTCCTTGCTGTCCCTGTGTCACTCACCCATGTCCCCTGCCCCAGCTCACCCCTGTCCCTCTGTCCCTGGCCAGAGAGGGGGACACGGTGCCAGACACCCCCCCCCGTGCCACCCCTCGCAGTGTCACCCCTCCGATGCCATCTCCCCGTTGTGCCCTCGCAGTGCCACCGTGCGGGATGTCACACACTCACCCCCGGTGCCACCGTGAGGGTGTCACACACCAACCCCTGATGCCACCGTGCCGGTGTCACAGCCACGCCCCCGGTGCCTCTGTGGGGGTGTCACAGACCTGTTCCCGGTGCCACCGCGCGGGATGTCACGGACGTGTCCCCGGTGCCACCGCGCGGGTGTCACTGACCTGCCCCCGGTTCCCCGGGCTCCCCGGGCTCCCGGTACCCGGGGGGGTGAGGGGGTGACCCCGGGGGTAATGAACAACCCGCCCCGACCCCCCCGTGTCCCCCCCGGGACCCCCCGCACAGCCGCGTCACTGCCTGCGTCACCGGGTTAATGTGGCCCCGGGGGACACCGGGGGGGCAGCGCTGGGGCAGAGCGACCGGGGGTGTCACAGCGACCCGGGGGGATCAGAGCGAGCCGGGGGGATCAGAG